TTTTAGTGTTGACAGCTTTGACAGTGTTTATAACAGTGACTATCACACCATTTGCCTGTGTAATGTAAGCAAGCATATGTGTATGCTGTGCGGGTTACCTCGATATTGCTTTCGGTCACAGTCATTATAAGCAAAGATAGATAGTGTCTAGCAATGGAACCCAGGATACACGTTTCGTCCCGTTTGGAACTTATCAGCTGGATATACCTGCATCTCAGAGTTGTTCATTCTGGAACTCGAACCCAGTACCACTCACTTCAAACTCCATCGCGTTATCCACTTAGCTATTGAGTCCTGATAGCCACTCGCTTGTCCAATGGTGTAAAGTTTAAATTCACTTGGCATTGTTTACTTAAATCATCCCATTGACGTTTAACACTGAAATTGATCAGTCTCTCTTATTAGCATATGTGCATACTGTGCGCATTGCCTTAAGTCACGTTCATTCTAAGCAATGGTGGATAGATGAAACGCGTATCCTGGATTCTGCTGCTAGCTATCACCCATGTTTGCTTAAAATTAGAAATATGCAACAAAAGTTTGCGATAAAAGTTCCTGGTAGATCCACTAAAGCGGTATAAAAAACAAGGTTGACATTAAGTGATTGTGTGATGAAATAGTTGGAAATAAAGTTAATCAGTTAAAAATATAATAACATGCTAGAAATGCACAGTATAATCTAATGAGTGAATAGAAATGTTGAAAAATGGTGAAACGATATACAGGAAAAGTTACCAGTGGAACGAAAGACTAACAACTGTTCGTTTCTAACCAGATAAATCAGTTTAGCGGAGATTTTAAAATGATCTCAAAGTACCTACTTAATGTTCTACATTATTTAGTTGCTAAGATATTATATAATTAACAATAATCACTGCTTTTAAGTAGATATATTTTGGAATCTTGTTGTAGGATTTAAAATAGCACCTTTTTCCTATTCTACCGTACTTGTTCATTATAGATTAATAAACAAAACCATGTATATGATACTTCAATAAAATGGTTTCCTATACAATTTTAGTGATCTACTTTTATGAAGAAAACGTGATTAGTGTAATGGAAATATTTATTATTATAACCAACTGTACCAGTGATTATTTTACTGTACCATTTTGTTTAATTGTACCAAAAGCATATTTTTTCCGTTGTTTGTGACTTTCAACTTACTCACGTATCCACGACAGTTTCACCTGTAAACTTTGGCATGATCTCGGTATTATTTCGATACCAAGAAATCACTAACAAATATATCCTAACTGCAATCTTCAACTGTCCTTCTAACATTTATCCTATGGAGGGACTTAACCTGGTAATAGACATGTAATTGATCTGTAATAGTGATCATAGTCAACTGCAACTTGACATCACCATACAACTAACTCATTTATTTAGATGGAACATGTTCATTTTTATTGACATCTATTTTATATTATTGATAATCTAAACATCACTATTACTATAACACCTTTACTATAACATAAATATCCTATTCCCTAAACATCTAAACATAATCATAAATCAGATGAGTGATCATAAGTTGTACTTTATGTAATTTAACAATTCAAATAAAAGATCATCAACAAATAATGATAAATAGGAATTAGTACATTATAAAACGAGTTAACACCTTCTTAAATAACTAACAATCATTGAAAATGAAGAAAAGAATTGTGATAGAGATTCGTTAATTAATATTTTATATTAGAAAGATCTAATAGAAAAGTTGAAAATGATCTTAGAATTTTGAGGTTAATATTTTTCAGTTGATAAAGAGAAATATCAGAAGGGTCTTGTGGAGATTGTGGAAATTTCAACAGTTGAGATCATGAGTTAATTGAAACCCGTAGAAAATTAACTCGCTAAAAAAAACGCTAACCAGACTATCATGAAAAACCTGGAAGTATTAGATGATCGTTTCGTCCTATTGTGGGACTCTTCGGCAGTGCGCATCCACGATCCTGACTCATGATCTTAATTGTTGATAAAGAGAAAGTTTGTAAAAATCAAGGTTATTTGGTTAGTGAAATAATGAAATCTGTAGAACTATAGTAGTTTTAGGAAGCTTATTATTATGAAATGGTTAAAATTAGACATTGACACTGTTGGATCTCGACTCACAGGTCTATTATTCATTTATTTGAACATATAAATATCGCCACAAGAGGGCATCGAATACATATGTGTCACACAAGTCACTTGATTTGTGTGTGGGCTTTAATATTACATGGGTGTCCAGATCGAAGCAGATGGTTTTCACAGAGGGCCACACCCAGAGACTTCGACCTAAAGGTCTTATACACAAGGCAGTACAGCTACTTAAGGACATGCAGTCACATGATAACTAGTGACCAAGAATTGATACATACGCCATTTGCTCCCTCAAGATCCCGTAGCCCATGTGCACCATTGGTTAGAAGTCAGGATTCTCCCACTCCTCTAGTTCGATCCTCAATATCCACCAACCCGGTTAAAGCACCGAAAATTCGCTTTACGTCATGTCACTTTCGTAAACAACAACCTCCGCCGCGAGAAGCATTGGGTAGGACTTCCCTATCATTGGCTGTATATGCGTGGCCATGTTAGAGGTTAAGTGTTCGCGTGCGAGATCAAAGGTACTGGGTTCGAGTACCTCTAGTGCGGGATCGTAGATGCGTACCTCTGAGTCCCATACTAACATAAAACGGTCTTAAAACAGTTCTTCCAGGCATAACATTGATCCCATCATGATATTAATCATAGAATAACGGCCCTGGAATACTGTTATGAAGTAAACAAAAAAAATAATTGAAAGAAAGCTATCCAGGTTTCTTACTTTATTCACTTTTCTAATCTCTTCCTGACATTAATCATAAAAGTTTATTATTAGATAAGCTAATATTATTGAATAAATTGAAAGATGATTAGATAGTTCTTATCTGCAAAATCATTTCCCCTATACTATTTTTCTGAGATACCAAAGGTTTTCATAGATTATTCATAGGAAATGATTAGAATTGTTAAATAATGTAATTCTGTAATGAGAATTTGTGTAAAATTCATTTTCATGTGGAATAATTATATGTTCAGTCTGTCAAACCATGTTGCATAATAGTAAATAAGAACCGGAATAGTCTCTTTATAGTCATGATCTACATAAATTCTTTTATTATTGTATTAAGTAGAGTTCGTTTGAGTTTTTGAACGACTATTAATTTTCATATACTTGCCTATTAAGCCCTTTTCATTGTTTACTCCATAATTTTATCTCGTTTCTTGCTTAATATCTTTTAGTCTATTGGATTGTTAGCAAACTAACACATATGCATATATTAACCATTCACAATCATTTACCCAACAACGGGATGTTGGTTCATTGGTCTAGAGGTTGAGCGTTCGCGTACGAGACCGATAGATCCTGGGTTTAAATCTCGCGAGGCGGGATCGTGGATGAGCACTACTGAATAGTCCCACAATAGGACGAAACGACCTTCCAGTGTTTTCAGGTTTTCCATGGCTTCAGTGGACTCATGATCTTAACTATTAAAACTGTGTAACTGTTTAGTTGACATATACTCTAGCAAACACCACTAAACTGATTAGATTTTTAACCTGACCCACCCTAAACAAATAGTCAAGCTTTCTTGCTAATATGTACAGTCTAAAAAAACAGTTGAACATTCTCCAAGGGAATAGTAATTAGATGGGTAATAAGAGAAAGGATAACGTATACAGAACAAGATTGAACTGTCCTACGAGCTATTTATTCATATTTAATTCTTCATAATTATCCGAGAAAGTCAACAGGTCAATATTTAATTATTTATATCAGAAAGGGTTTTTGTGGTTTTAATAGTTGAAATCATGAGTCAATTGAAGCTAGACCACCATGGAAAACCTGGAAACACTGGATTGCTGTTTCATCCTACCATGAGACTCCTCAGCAGGGCTCATCCACGATCCCGCCTCGTGAAAATCAAACCCATGACCTATTGGTCTCGTATGAGAACGCTTGACCTCTAGACCATTGAGCCGGCTCACTAGTGATTGACTTCAATTAGTATTACCTGGAGTTCTAGTAAGAAGCATTGACAAGTGTAGTTCAACCGGGTTTGTTGTGAGATTAGTTAGACATTAACACCGTTGGATGCTGGTTCAGTGTTTGCCCGTGAGACTGATAGGTCCTCAGTTCGAATCTCATACGGTGGGATCGTGGATTTGCACTGCTGAGGAGTCCCACACTACAACGAATCAGCCATTCAATGCTTCCATGTTTTCCATGATGATCTAGCTTCAATTAACTCATGATATCAACTATTAAAATTTGATTATTTGTCTATAGGTAGTAAAACATTATAAGTGACTGAATAATTTGACTATGGTTTAGTGTTCATTTTTCTTCATTACTCTTATAGTTCTAGTATTTTGTCATAAGTAACTATTCAATAGAAAGTAGAAAAAAAATCATCATCAAAGTTCAAACTTACTCAAGATTGTACTTTTTTTTTCAACTGTACTTTAAATAATTCAGCTGATGTACAATTTTATAAGTCATGATGCAAAATAGATATCCATATCAAACCTATACACATTGGTGTGTGTGTGTGTGTGTGGATGTGGATGTGGATGTATCATTTCATTTTTTTTTAGAAAAATATCAACCAATGATAAACATTAGAAAAAAAAGGAATATAATTCATAAAACACTAATAGATTATTTCTTCTCCTGGATACTACTATTTAAAACCAAATATATAACATATATATTGAAACATTGAACAGAGCTTTCAACTCTTTGAATTCATTAGAACAGTATTAGATTATTTCTTCTCCTGGATACTACTATTTAAAACCAAATATATAACATATATATTGAAACATTGAACAGAACTTTCAACACTTTCAGTTCATTAAAACAAGAAAATTAATTGTAAAAGAAAAAAAAGAAAAAAAAGAAAAAAAGAAAAAAAAAGAAAAAGAAAATGGTTTGTTGTAAAAAACAAAATAAAATAAATAATAATTATATGAATAAAATTCATTCAAATATTGATTTAAAACAATTAGAATTATTAGAACGTCAATTTATATTAGATTGTATTGCTGTTAGACAAATATGTGATGATTATTCAATAACAAATCCAAAACATGGATCTATTATACCACCATATAATGGACAATTAGATCCATATGCTAAATCATATTTTGAATCATTTAATATTCAAAAATTATTAGAAAAAACTGGTCAGGTTAGTTTTTATTTAATTAATAGACATAAATAATAATTTATTTTTTTCTTTTTTTTTTTTTAAAGAAATAAATAGATTGTAGTTAATGATTGAATCTAGGAATCGTTCTTCTAATTCTTAATTAGGCGGGGCACCAGATACATATATGACGCACAAATCCCATTTCATTTGTGTGAGGGCTGTGATACTACCTGGGTGCCCAAATCGAAGCAGGTGGTTTTCTTGATGGGCCACATTTGGAGACTTTGATCTAAAGGTTTGATCTATAAGGCAGTGGAGCAACGTAAGGAAATGCAGTCCCATAGTAGCCGGTGACCAACAATTGGTTCATACGCCATTTTTTACCTGAGAATAGTCGAGCCCATGTGTACCACTGCATTTGAATCAGGGTTTTCAAACTTCCCTATGTGGACTCTCCATGTCCACCGACCCGTATAGGCACTGGACATTCACTTTTCGTCCTCTTAATTTCGTAAACAACACCCCTGCCACGAGGAGGCAATGAGTAGGACTTCCCTGGCAGAGGCTATATACGCGTGGCCATGTGAGAGCAATTCGAGAGAGAGAGAGAGAGAGAGCGGAATCTCCCCACTCTCGGCCGTACCAGAGCATTTGTATTCATATACACATTGGGACTCGAACCTGATACGATTCTCGGTGAGACCATAATTTATGGACGATATTTGAGCGACTCTAACCAGACCTTGAGTGTCCATCTAATAACTAGAACAAAATGAGTTTTATAAACCTATGTGAGAACTTCGAATTGTGATTTACAGTTGACGGTTTGGATTAGGAATTATATTTAGGGTTTTCATCACAAATTGACATTATTTATAATGCCAAAACTCTATTTTTTACAAATTGATGAGTCAATTTCGCGCCGAAATCTGCGATCTGTTATTCTATACCTGATTGGTTCGTCTATAAATTATAGTCTCGTCAAGTTGAACACTGTATATATACTTTATGCAAACCCCAGAAACTTTAATTTATCATTTGAACCATGCTGATAAGCCGTTTAGATGAAACTCAAAGTAATGAATTTTTCACTTTCTTTTAACTGAAATAAAAAAAAAACGATTATTGCCATTTAATTAACCTTCATTCACATGCTTTCTTATGCTCGATTATGATTTTTCTTTAAAGCAGAGAGATATTCGTTTGATAATATATTACACAAATAAATCTCTACAAATCTTTTAAAGCGAATAAGGTGTTCCAGGGTTGATATATATCACAGAAAGACGATAATCATTTCTAAAAAAATTGTCACATGTAACAGACAATTACGTGATACCATGGTTTCTGGTATTCTGTGAAGGAATATGTGAAAAAAAATTTCCCTCCTTCCCTCATTCTTTCTTCATCCTCTTCTCTTTCTCCCTGTCTGTCTTCTTTGTGTATTTGATTTACTGTGTTTTTTTTTCTTTCAATGACCAATCGGTTAAACAGTAAGTACATTCGTAACATTTATGATAGAACATTCCATCATTTAAAAGACTTGGTTAAACTACTCAAAGGTTAGTGTTTAGCGTTTTTTTAGCAAGTTAGTTTTCTACGGGATGGGGTCGCCAACCCCATGCCCAACCCTCCTCCTTTGTCCGGGCTAGGGACCGACGGTAGCCCCCTGAGGAACTCTAGGCGGGGGTAATCAAATAAAAATCATTAAAGGAAAATAGGGTCAATCAAGCTTAATGCTAAATAATTGACAGTTTTGTTTACCTTTTTTTAAAAAAAAATTATTCTCACTTGTAATTTATTATCTGATGTTAAATTGTCGAAGGTAGATGGAAGTAAAACTTTAAACCTAGATTTTCTGTCGGTTAGCACTCGATACTAAGCCGTGCCGATAATCATTTGAAAACTGATGTTTCATATATAACTCGAGCCACCAGTCTAACACGTTAACATTGATTTATTGAACCGGTAACTGACTTCCTGTTTAGTTAAGACATTTCTGCTTATTGACCAATGAGTAGTGATCAAAATCATGTCCATTTATTCCTTAGTTCTAATTGAATTCTGCCTATCATGGTAAAATCTAGTCATCAGTAATCCAAGTGACTCAATATTTTATCTATTATGTTGTAACATTAGATGGTTGGTCGTATATTGGTAGATAGAATTCTACCAACACTAGGGACAAGACAAACATAACAATGAATAGCACTCAGTGATCAGTTATTAATTACTTATTGTTATTTATTTGAACAACTAAACATTAGTACAAGGTGGCACCAAATATATATGCACCACACAATGAAAATGAGGCAAGTAGTAATCATTCATTTCTGGGTGGGTTATAATACTACCCAAACCAAAGCAGCTGGTTCTCAAAGGGGGACACAACCGGAGCCTTCGACCTAAAGGTCTTATACACAAGGCAGTGAAGCAAAGTCAGAAAATGCAGTCCCATGGTAGCCGGTGACCAACAATTGGTTCATAGACCATTTCTTCCCTCAGGATATTGAGGCCCATGAGCACCATTGGTTTCGAATTATGGTTTTTCTACTCCCCTAAGTCGATTCTGCATATTCACCGACCCGTATAGGCACCGGACATTCACTTTTCGTCCTCTCAATTTCGCAAACAACGCCCTTGCCACGAGAAGGCAGTGAGTAGGACTTCCCTGGCAGGGGCTGTATACACGTGGCCATGTGAGAGAATTTTGTGAAGGACAGTGAACTCTTCTCACCCTCATTCGTAACAGGGCATTTGGGGTCAGTTAACTTGTAATTCAATATTGAACAAACATGTTTCAATACTAAAGTTCTTTTCTTTAAAAAAAATAGGTCATACATTAAACTTCTAATTAAATTTACTAAGAGTAAATATTTAGAGGTTTTTTACCTTAAATATTGATTTGCCATGAAGATAAAACATCCTAGTTTTGAATGGAAGTCATTTACATGAACATATGATTTATGTGGTGTGAGCTACTTATATCCACATAAGTAGTATATAACGATAGTAAGGGATAGAATGTATTTCAGTAGAAGATCAAGAAGGAAAGGATAGGAACGGAAACCAATTGGTATGAAAATGTATGAACAATGAAATCTGAGTTGATGGATTAATATTTGCAAAATGAACAGTCAAGTTCGAGACAATGGATTGATATTTGACAAATCAACTATTTACTGTATGGTTCTCAGATCTTAGTGAGACGCTCTGTAATTTCGTGTCAAATACATTCGATTATCTTCACTTGTGTTCTTGTTCACTACAATACTACTGAAGAATATCATAGTTATTTTCATTATCAATAATAGTTTGAATATTTTACTAGAAAGATGGTAATGACATAAGCAATAATCACAAATGTTTTCCTTCCTTTTGAAAATTGAGCTTATAATGTGGATGTACAACGATGTAGACTACCTGGTTGGATTCTTAGCTATGATCATGATTAGCGATTGAAAACGTTGGACGACAGGATTTAGAACAGGTTACAATCACATAGATGTATTCACTTTTTCTATCTTCTTCTTGAGTTTCATTATTTCTTCAAATATACGATTAAATTCTATGTATATACTGATATTGATTGCTTCCCTAGTTACAATGTGTAAGAAATTTTTTTAAAGAAAAAAATCATCCGATAATGAATTGGGTAATGTGATGATTAGGAGTATTTGAACTATAGTACAAACTAGGAATTCTACAAATAATGCAATTGGATCAAGAAGTACTAGATAAGCACAAACGAATGTACTGTATTTAGAATTCGAAATCAAGCATTCAACAAGTACAAACGAATCGTTAGTTCATACAAACACCACATCCGCCACAGCTTAAATTAGAGTCTAAGTTTCTGCAATCAATTTACGTCTTCTTATGTTCATCCTGTGTCTGTTCGACAGTGTATTGGATGCAGACTCTGTATGATATAGAATGTACTTATTAGTATTCGGATTAACAAATGCAATTGGAACAGACTCACCTGGGTCTTGGAATTGTATACAATCACCATGTCGGTTGTGTACTGAAACCACTGATATCTAGAATTTGAACCATAGATTTCCCAACACTATCCTCCCCCACGAAATAATGTTGGATCTTCATATCCCAAAGTTATGAATGATGCGGTTTAATTGAAAACATATTTCTCACATTGACTAGAGTATATATTAGAAGTGACTTCATGATAAGGATAAACAACAGTTGATTTGAAATCATACAAATTCTAATCAAAATCGAGCTCATTTAAGACTCGTACTTCGCAATGAACAAGTTCCCCCACAAGAAGCAAATTCATTGAGGATAAATAATATATGATATGACACCAGGACTTCATTCTTCTGAAATAGTTTCCTCAAATTTATTAAGAATGTCATTGCAGAGTAAAAAACCATTAGAAAATTCAGCATCAATCAAAACTACATCAGATTTTCGATCATGATTAAATTCATCCGAAATATTCTCATCAGATTTGTAAGGAATTTCATCAGAAACATGTGGATCATTAGGAAAAACCATATCTGATACAATAAAATAAGAAATCTGAAAAGTTGATTGATTAGAAACTGTTGTCTCACAAAGATTCTGAGTTTCATTTAACTCTGATCTGCTATGTGACTCTATTATCGCTTTTTGAAGTCGTGGATAATGACAAATGATTGTTAGAAACACCCAACTCAATAGGATCACAACTAAAAATGTTAATCTTAGTTGCAGCGGAATGAACCGCATATGAATTACGAGAATGAAATTTGCCACAAGATAAACATTTACCAAACTTGATCTCACCTTCGTGAACTGAATCGCATATTCTCAATGAATTATCGGCACAACGTTGATTACGCGTTGGATTGGGACAGCGTAGTAGTGTAGCGGAATTTTCGATGCCCTGATGAAAAATTTTATGAAATTCTCCTCCTTTACCGTATTCGAAATTTGTATACATAACATAGTCTAGCAGTAGTTCCTTGAGAGTTGCATAAGGAAGCAAAATGGGCCAGAGTTTTTAATAAGCTATACGCTTCTTTTCCGATGAATGTGAGGAAATGTGCCACAATATTAACATCCTCAATATCTTTCTTGGTCACAGCCCATATTTCGAACCTTTCCAAGGAATCCTCAAAAGCATCAAAATCTCAATGTATATACAACCATTCCATCACAGGCTCCATTGCAACATCAATGTGATGATTAAGAGTATTTGAATTATAGTATAAACTAAGAATCCTAGAAATAACACAATTGAATCAAGAAGTACTAGATAAGCACAAATGAATGTACTGTATTTGGAATTCGAAATCAAGCATTCAACAAGTACAAACGAATCGTTAGTTCATACAAACACCACAAGTAACCCCTAAAGAACAAAAAAAATTACAAATAGGTTGTAGTGAAATATTCACTATTATATCGGTTTCATAAACGATCTTATTTATTTATTTTATTTGAACATATAAATATTGGTACAAGAGGGTACTGCCTGGGTGCCAAAACCGAAGCAGATGGTTTTCTTAGGAGGCCACACCCCGAACCTTTGACCTAAATGTCTGATCTATAAGGCAGTGGAGCATCGTTAGGAAATGCAGTCCCATGGTAGCCGGTGACCAACGATTAGTTTATACGCCATTTGTTCCTTCAGGATACTGGAGCCCATTTGCACTATTGGTTTAGGATCCGCTTAAAGCGCTGGAAATTCGCTTTTCGTCCTCTCATTTTCGTAAACAACACCCCCTTCACGGGAAGGCAGTGAGTAGGACTTCCCTGGCAGAGGCTATATACGCGTGGCCGTGTGAGAGCATTTCAGGAGGGTGGGTGGGTCCACCCCACTCTCAGCCATACCAGGGAATTTGGCGGCCATAATAATGAAAGTACATATTTTTCTTAGGAATTTATTTCAAAGGTTTACCATTGAGGATGTTACATCTTCCAAAAACTAATTATAGGCTATTTTTTATTTATGTAAAATTTAATCTATATTTTCTCGTAACCCTTAGAGACAGGAGTTATCTTTCATTTTCATTATAATTATAGATTCTATTTTACCTAATGATCAGTGTATATTTGTATATGTTAAATGTTTATCCTATTTTCATAGTCATTCTACTCGTAAGTGTTATCTATAAAAGTCAATTTTCTTTGATCTCTACCAGTAAGTGTTTTCTTTTTCAATAGTGCCTCTTAAAATAATTGAGGAAGAGGGTGAGGGGGGGGGAGAAAGAATTGTGGTATCGATATTTTCAGAACTCGAAGCTAGAAATTACTAGCATCCAATTTGAGATAGATCAATTACAATAGTTGAAATCATAAGTTAATAGAAGCTAGACAATGCTTCCAGGTTTTCCCTGGTGATCTTCACAAAACCCCTTCTGATAGTATATCAATTAATTAAATATTTTTTAGAGGCTTGTCTATTATACACCTTTAAAAATTGATTAAAACATGTTGCATTAGAAATACTGTGAAACATTTATAGAGAAATTTGAACGCTTCACTTCTATCTGATGTTTGTGCTGATGATGTTGTTCAGACGAAAGCTCCATAACCAAACCATCCAGCTTAAAGAACAAAACTCCATAAAAAATATTGTTTCATTTATGACAATATTATTAGTTAACTTTAAGAAAATATAGGGGAACTTTAGGTAACAACATTTTGAGAAATTACTAGGAAAAGTTCAAAGAAAGTGTAGATATTAACTTACTTTTTTTTTTTTCAAAAGTTTTTCTTTCTTGTCAAGTTAATTTTGTAAAAATACACTAGTTTCATTCTTTTTTTAGACACCACCTGGAACATCAATTGAAGGTGAAATAGCTGATAGATTTATCATCAATGGTGCACCAGCGGATTATATTCAACGACGTAATAAAAATGGTTGTGGACATTCAAAAGAAATATGGGGTGGACATTGAAATTCAATAGTAACCTAACATGAATAGTAAATAAAGTAGACCATAACTTTATATTTCATTCCTATTACAACTAATATTATTATTATATAAGAAAGATTTTAGTATTTCTATGTGAAATATGACTTTGTATGTATAATGTACTATAGCATTATAATGATAAGTATATTAGCTAATTAATACTAAACATATTTATTTCTCTGAGAATAGATATTTATGAATGAATAAAATGTATGCAGTGAAATTCAATGTTATTAATATCAGAAAGGGTTTTGTGGATATTATAGTAATTTTAATAGTTGAGATCATGAGTCAATTGAAGCTAGACCACTATACTAAACCTGGAAGCATTAGATAACTGTTTCATCCTATTGTGGGACTCCTCAGTAGTGTGCATCCACGATCCCGTTTCTCGAGAGATTCGAACCCACGGCCTATCGATCTCGCGCGCGAACACATAACTTCTAGACCACTGAGCCGACTGGCATCCAATAATGTTAATGTCTAACTTCAACCAATCCATGAAATTGAGCGACACATCGACCATTGTCTTCAGTGAGTTACTCTATATTACGATATTATTCAACCATTGTCTCATTTCTAAAATAGAAGTTTATACACATAGATCACTGTGATTTCTTACTAGAATTATAAATGAACAAATGAAAATAAGTGGATTAATTGAAGTTAAACATTAACACCGTTGGATATCAACCGGCTCAGTGGTCTAGTTGGTTAAGCGCTCGCGCGCGAGACTGATGGGTCTAAGGTTCGAATCTCCCGAGGCGAGATCGTGGATGCGCACTGCTCAGGAGTCCCATAATAGAACGAAGCAGCCGTCCAGTGCTTCCAGGTTTTCCATGGTGGTCTAGCTTCAATTGACTCATGATTCCAACTATTAAAATTCAATGTTATTGATTAATTTGAATACTTTTATTTCATATGAAAAATTACATTAACTCAGGTAATTCTTCTGCATGTTTGTTTAACTTATCGTGTATAAATCCTGTCTTGCATGATTAAAACTAGTAATCGGACAAACTGAAGTTTAATAAGAATGAACCTGATCTCTGTATGATATGCAAGAAATCAAAGTCAGTAAGGTATTTGGAGATGGTCGACAGGATATCTTGCTATATGACACTTTTCAATAGAGCGTAGTTGCAATTTTGATGGAAATGGTGTTCTCAGTTAAATTTGGACCAGAATGACTAGGTTTCACAGTTTAATACTTTATCACTGAGTTGCTTGAGCTGCAGAGTGTGTGAGTGACTTTCGTTAAAGATCGATATCCATTGGTAAATAATTCAAAACAACAGAGAACTGAACATTTGGTTGTCATATACTATTTCGAAACTCCTATATAGTTAGCACTTACGATTCTACTCGTAAGACAAAGAGTGCATTATTATTTATTTATTTGAACACATAAATATTGGTTCAGGGGGGGGGCACCAAATATATACATGCGCCACACAAAACAATGAGAATTTAAGGAGAAGGGAAAAAAGTGTAAGGAACCTAGGGAATTATTAAAAAAAAGAGAACAATAATGGGGGAGACGAAAAGGTACACTCAGAAGAAATCTTACAGTTAAGGAAGATACAACCACTTTTTATGAAGAAAGTAAAAGAAGGTTACAGCAGGATCGTCACTGGCTTCTATTCTGAGCCATATCTGATAACGTTTCTAGCCACTGTGTTACACCATCTCTCAGACCCCAGCCAGGGAGTCGTGAAGGACCAACACAAGCCAGCCCTTTGCAGCTTTCATTCATACCACAACACCATGTCATACACTGACCACCTCTCCGATTTTTGCAACCAGTCCCAGAGTCGGCAAATAATGCACGACAAGGAATTCTCTGGGACGACATTCGTAGAACATGTTCAAGACACCGAAGTCGGTGTTTCAAGATGATGATACCAATGGAATTATCGTCTCTGTGCCCGAACACACGATGCCGAACCTCTACATTACTAACATGGTGTTGCCACTGAATGTCAGCAACCCTTCGGAGACAACGATGATCGAACACAGAGTCATCTAACATCCTCAACTTGGAGAGGCCAGGTTTCACAAGCATAGAGAAAAACTGCTCTCACCGACGCGTTGTAGATCCGACCTTTTACAGCCAGACTGACATCACGAAGGCGCCAAAGATGGCCCAGATTGGCATAAGCCGCTCTGGCTTTCGCTATACGTGCATTGATCTCATCACTCACGCCACCACCAGCACTTATGCAGCTACCTAGATACACGAACTTCTCGACGACTTCTATCTGCTCACCATCCAGAGTGAGTACAGGATTAGAATCCTGCCAGTCTTGTAGAAGTACTTTGCACTTCGAAGGTGCAAAGCACATACCATACCTACGGATATTGATTGCCAACTGATTAAGCGCGGATTGCATGGCTTGGGCATTCTCTCACAGTAAAACAATATTACCCGCATACTCAAGGTCAAGAAGTCTTTCTCCAGGTAACAGATCCATTGTGGTCGATTCTGAGCCATGTCACCCAGAGTCTCCAATCATTGATTATGACAGTCACGCGGACCCCAAACAAGTAATCTGCATCTAGTGCAAAATAAGTGCTGTTAGAGGTATGCAGCACTTATTTTGTACTATTTTTTTAGTAACACTTAAATAACAATGATTTAAATAAATATCATACTGAATCAGTTTGTGATATCATATATAATCCCTTTTTAACATGAAACTATCAACAAAACAAGCTTCCAGTGTTCTATGTCCAATGCCTTTATTTGTTCAAGACTCTACATATTAAAAACCTCCCTTAATAGCTTGAAATGGTGGTCAGAATAGTGAACCATGTAAATTTAATCGAGCTATGTTGGTCAAATCACTCGTTCTTTTAGCTCCTAACATGTCATGAAGGTCAGCACACAAATCCTCTAAACTATAACAATAATCCTTGTTCAAAACTATTTAAAAAGCAAAACGATACGGTTCGAAAATAAGTCGGATACGAAAATTATGAATAGGTAAAGGTTTGGTGATTCAATTTATCAAGCCTTATCTCTGTGTTCAGAAGTCGTATGTCCAATCTCTTAGTTTACCTTAGTCTTAACATAACTTCATAGTTTTCTAGTTACTCTTGACACATGTTGGCTTTCTCTTCGTACATTTTTCAAGTGGATGATTACCTTTCATATTTCTGTTCTATATTCTATTTCGATGAGTACGCACTCATATTATCTTCCTTATAATCGCCCAGTGGATAGCTCGTTTTCGTATGTCATTTCATTCTTATTAACCGTTGTCTATTATTTAACATTAAATTCTAACTAGCTTCGAGAACCTCTATTAGAAATACAACAATTCTATTTTTATTATAGACCACTATATGTTAGAATAAATATGATTATACAATTCTAGCAAACGATATCGTAGAAAAACATTACATCGCTGAAGCATTTACATTTTGTTTAAACAAAATGTTTTAGGTAATACCAGTTAATATTCCGTGTCGAAAGGTAGTTCAGTGTTCTAAACTTTTTGACATCAACCAATAACTTACGAGTCTAAACAGCATAAATCTACTTTATTTCAAGCGACCGAACAATATTTTATCATAAGCCATCAAAGGATCTGATTGTGAAGAAGATGATCTCAAGTACTGACAAGAGTGCGAGGGGGTTGTCATGTACAGCCTCCCCAAATGGCCGAATGATACTTCTTGAAGTAACTGTAAGAGGAAATAGACTAAAAGTGGTCTTGATGGCCTGAGAGCGAATGAAACACCCGTGTTTTAGGTGATTAAAGGTAATTGGGACCCACGGGGTAAGGCGTGCTATTTTTAGGGAATTTCTACAAACCTCACCAGCTGTGAGAAACAGAATCGTTGTAGACGTCAAGCGGACACCTTATTGTCACACGCAGTCTCCAGTACGACTTCACCCTCGGATCCTATGTTGTTGCTTCAGATCTTACCGTTCCCCAAGCAACCTGTCTGATATGATAGGGCCTAAAGGAACGATTATTCCTGAAATTAAAGCTCAACTGAGTCATCTAGATACACAGGCTTAACTACTACGCCACGGTAGGAGCTACGGCCGAAAATAACAATCACATACAAAAAAGTATGATTTACAGCCAACTGAGCCCCCAAATGCCCTGGTATGGCTGAGAGTGGGGAGAGTCCGCTCTCCCTCTCGAAATGCTCTCACATGGCCATGCGTATATAGCCTCTGCCAGGGAAGTCCTACTTACTGCCTTCTCGTGGCGGGGGTGTTGTTTACAAAAATGAGAGGACGAAAAGCGAATGTCCGGCGCTTTAACCGGACCCCAAACCAGTGGTGCACATGGGCTCCAGTATCCTGAAGGAACAAATGGCGTATGAACCAGTCGTTGGTCACCGGCTACCATGGGACTGCATCTCCTCACGATGCTCCACTGCCTTGTGGGTCAGACGTTCAGGTCGAAGGCTCGGGGTGTGGCCCCCTAAGAAAACCACCTGCTTCGGTCTGGGCACCCGGGCAGTATCACAGCCCTCACACAAATCAATTGAGATTTGTGTGGCGCATATGTACTTGGTGCCTCCCTGTACCTATACTTATGTGTTAAAATAAATAAATAAATAAATACAGCCAACTGAGTAAATCTGCACTTAGTGTAAACTATATGAAAACTTATACTATCACAACTTCTGGTTTCCATTGACAGGCTGTTTTAATTTCACGCTTTTCATTACCATGCTACTCGCGACCCCTTCCATTATTAAACGCAAGTACATCTTATAGACTTACTGAGTTGTTGGTTTACTTTTCACTTTCACATTATCATAGACACGTTACTCTGAAAATACCATCCACCAGAACAAAACTTACCTCCAAGTCAAGTGAAAACTTATGAAAGGTTCTTTTCAAAATGACTGTAGCTTGTTCACACTAACTAATTCAAAAAGTTTAGAAATATAATCGCTACATTTTATTGATATGGTTCGAAATACATTTCAGTAAAGTCAATTTGTAATAGTTGATCTTTTTTTTGTCATTTAAACATTTTTCAACTAGCTTTCTAAGGGTTTATGATTTTCGTTATATATTTCTTTAGCTAAAGTTAATAGCTGATTAAGTTGTGTTTCAGAAAAATAATTCAATGAAGCTTCATCCAATGGTTTACCAAGCGCTTCTTCCTTGTTCATTTTAACTTTATCTTCTTTACCAATTTTATTATTTGGATTTCGTATTGATTGTTGAATTTGCATTGATAATTCAACTGCATATTTCTGTAAAATAAAATAATTATTTTAAGT